CTGCATAAAAGGGGCGGCAACTAAGGATCTAGGAGACACTTTTGGAGACACATTTTGAGAGAAAAATCAAAGGAGAGAGCTCACTTTGACACACTTTGAAGTTGAGCATTTTGAAGAAAGGAAGACTCTTGTAAGTTGGGGGATTAACTTCAACACTTAGTACTTTCTATACTCCTTTGTTTAGGTAATTGATTCGAGACTAATTCCACAGATTTTGTCCCCGGTTTGCTTAGATGTTTGTGTCAAATTCGCTCATTAGAGGTTGGTTTTACGCTAGGTTCTTTGTGTTTGAGTGCTTTTCAGGATTTAACAGGCGGAACCAGCCTCGGAGTCGAAGGATTGGCTAAAAGGATCGAAAACGGGGAGAAGAGGTGAAAAAAACGCAAGTTCACGGCTAAAGGCAGCAGTTCACGGTCGCACAAGACCGTGAAGAAGTGGAGTTGACCGTGAAGCGCAAGGCATGCAGAGCCAACTTGAAGGTTACTGACGCAAGGCGAGTTCACGGTCACTAAGATCGTGAAAACAAGCAGTTGCCCGTGAACTGCCATGATCGATGTGGAGCGTTTTGGCGCAAGGCGTGAGTTCACGGACGCGTTTGAGAGTTCACGGCCGTGAACTCAGCCCCTCTCGTGTTTAAAAGCTGAGCTGCAAGGAAAGAAAAGGGGGGGAGCCAATTTTTGTGAGAGAAACACTTCTTCTGCATTTTAGAGAGAGAACTAGAACCAAGAGAGAAGAAGGAGTTAGGGCTTGGCTTCAAAGGAGGTTTTGGGAAGATTTCCCCAAGGAAATCCCAGCTCAAGGTTGAAGAAGAGAGGAGGCATCCCCACAAGATGATTTCCACCTTTTTCTCCTTTGTTCTTCCCACTTCTTCCATGGAGTAGTCCTCCTCCCACTTGGGTGTAATGAAACCCTAAACTCTACTATATAGTTTTCTTGTATGTGGTTTGAATGATTGATATTGGGCATTGTTCAATTTCATGTTTGAGGTATTTTCACCATGATTTGGCATGCTTATGCTTAGAAACTTAGGGGTTGTGCATATTTTGTGCTTAGCATCCTAGGGTTGTGCATAATCGTGCTTAGTACCCCCTAAGTTTGTGCATTTAGGTGCTAGTAATCTAATTTGCCAACTTAGCCTAGTTTAGAAAGGAAAATCCCTCTTTTAAGAGAGACTCAATCGAGTTGGTTTTCCTTCCGCTTTCCAAGCCACCTAAACTAGGTCGAGTTAGGGCAATCCTCAATATTGAATTGATCAAGTCGATTAATCATGGTTAAACCGTCCGACCTTAGAGTTGAGTGAGGAAGTAAGCCGATTACCGATTGTCTAAGCCGACAGGGTCGAACAACACGACCTTTCATCTTCCCCTTGGTTTAGCAATCGAGGCTGTGGTCCCCGACCACATACACTTTCCTATGAGGTTCATGATTAGCGTTCCCAAGGCAATCGTTCCATCCCACGTAGCATAGTAGCGGTTTAGGGGGAAGTGAAATCCAAGTGACTTTCCCACGAAAGAGTTTTCAAACCAAATTACTTTTGCTTTCTTTTGTTCAATTGGCAAACCTTTAAACCAAAGTTTTATCGCTAGATACTGATTTCAACAACCGAAGTAGGGGTAGACAGACCGGCCCGGGTCGATATATAGATACTTGCCCTATACTAAACCCGATTAGAGTTCAAAAACTTGGGCTCTAATTGGGGTTTAATTGTAGTGTAGATTCGAGCGAGTCAAGTTTTTGGCGATGTTTCCGGGGAAGACGGTCTGTTATTCTGAAAAAGTTGTTGGTTGTTAATCTAGCTTTTAATTTCAAGTTTTTCAAGTGTGTGTGTTCTTTGCTTGTGCTAGACTTGGTGTTTTTCGATTGTGTGTAGGAGGTGCATGACCCAGAGTAACTCGACGCCCTTGCTACAACTTGACGTGGACATAAACCGAACTCACCAACTCATAGAAAGGGAGAGAGAGACAGCCGAGGCAAGGAGAAGGAGTGAAAGAGGGGGACAAAAATTGGATCCCTGTGTTAGTGGAGAAGTAAGTGAAGAAGTGGAAGTTGGGCCCGTCATTGAAGAGGAAATGGCGGGGAACCAAAGGCAAGATGGAGCCGCTCAAGCCCGCCATATGAATGAGGAGGAGGGAGAAGAAGGAGCCCTGAGGACGATGGGGTACTATATGGCCCAAGGTCGGCGGACATTCAATCGCCGATCCTACATCCTCTGGTGGCGGCAAGCAATTTCGTGATCAAGCCGGCTCTGGTGACTATGATACAAAACAATGCTCTCTTCCACGGCCATGAGAGCCAGTCACCAAGAGAGCACGTGCATTGATTCTTGGAGCTCGTGGGGAGCTTGAAGATTAATGGTGTGCCGGCCGAGGCTTTGCAACTAAGATTTTTCCTATACTCACTCTCGGGGAAGGCACTTAAGTGGCTTAAAAACCGCCCACCTCAGTCCATCACCTCATGGGACGACCTCCTCATAAAGTTTATGGCTCATTATTGCCCGCCTTCGAAGACGGCGGAGTGGAGAAAGAAGATTACACATTTCAAGCAAGAAGAGGACAAAACCTTGAGGGATGCTTGGGAGAGGTACTCCGATTACTTTCTTCAGTGCCCCTACCACGGGTTTGAGGAACAGTTTCGGATTGAAACCTTCTACAGAGGCCTAATGCAAGAAGATAAGATCCTCATCGACTCCTTATGTCAGGGGAAGTTGATGAATATGGCTCTGGCCCAAATTACCGAGATCCTAGAAGACATGGCCCTTAGAGGGTATGATTCGGGGTTGACTCGAAGTGGAAGAAGAAGAAATGAAAGTGGAGTGAGAAGTGTGGGAGCGAGTGCTCCGCTTGAGGCAAAGTTGGATAAGTTGCTTTAGGTTATGCTTGAAGATAAAAGGCAAGGAAAGCGGGCGGTAATGTCGTACGACTGGTGCTCGAGTACTAGCCACAAGATAGCGAAGTGTCAAGCAATGAAAGAGGCAACCACTCCGGAGGAGCAAGTTAACTTTGTAGCAAATGCTAGGGTCAACAACCTGTATAGCAATACCAATAACCCCGGGTGGAGGAACCACCCCAACTGTGCTTGGCAATCACCGGCTAATCCAAGGCCCCCGAGTTTCCAAGCTGTATCTCTTTAATTGTAAATGTTAACCGAGGAAAAGAATATTACTTGTTCCCATTGGGGCGACCCATTCAGCGAAAACTGAGAGGAAGTCGCAGCAAAAAGAGGGCGGCAAACAACAATTCGACGCCAGAAGAGGAAATTGACGATTTGGTGACGAGGAAGAAGAGGAATTCGCCGCAAAACAGGGTCGCGTCGGCGACGACAGCTGGGACGAGTCGACGACGGCAGTTGCTGCTTGCAGCGGTGAAGAATTGAGGAAGGAGAAAGGTCGATTAGGGTTTAACTTGTTATAAATTTCCAATGGAGGAAAAGTTTCAAAAAAGAAAAAGGAACGATAATGTGGCTCAGTTGGGCTGAGGTTGGCCTCCAAGGAACAAGCAGGGCTTGGAAAACTTGATGTTTAGTTGGGGCCTTAGCCCAAATATATTTATAGTCTGTATGCGAATAGCATGTTAATAGTGTCGATGCGAATTACACGTGTTTCCCCTCCGAGGGATTCACTCTTCAGTCTTCACACTTCCCCCCAAACTCCGTCGATCCGTAGATATCTTCTCTGGTCCATCCCAGAATCTGCTTTATTTTCCCGAAAAAGGATCTTCACTCCTCCAATCTTCTTCTCATTCTTCGTCTGATTCTTCTTAACTCACACTCGTCATCAACTTCTCCACCTTCGGCTGAGGTTGGACCGAATCAGCCGCCACACTCGTCATCGACTTCTCCACCTTCTCACTCACCACCTGCTCGACGAAATTCCCCACAGATCCCCTGTCGTCGCAAATGCTGTCTCCAGCTGCGACAGCAGCTGCTTAATCCCATCCTTGCCAACGAATCACCCTTCCCAGGAACCAACGACATCATTAGATTAGACCAATAAAGGCGTGTGCAATTCCTGTGTTTTGTTCTTTCTTGTTTTGTTTTCAGTTCAGTTCCCATTAGTGAGAGAGTTTGGTTCCGGGAGAGAAGGGGATAGGGTGATGGGGTGGTAGGGAGGAAGGTATTTGGGGGAACTATGATTTTCCACTCCTGAGTGCTGCTTCTGAAGTTATTTACGCTGTAGACTCTTCATAATCTGCTTCTGTTCATCAGATATGGTGATGACGGCCAACGTTTCCCTGTCCCTTTCTTTCTCAAATTTCTCATTTTATGAACGACCATGGACCTGTTTTGCTTCCATGCTATTCAAAATTTTAATTCTACAAGCCATTGATGTTGTAGCAGCTTGTACAGCTATTCAATTTTAATTCTGCACTAATTGCAGAATTACTGTATGAATTGCATAATGTTGACTGGACATTTGTTAGGTTAACCGGTGGATCCGAGATACTATGTCCACTTGACATTTTGTTGGGTTATAACGTCGAGGAGGGTTGCGGTATGATCATCATACTGAATGAATACAGTGATGAGGAAAGCTAACATAACTATAAGCTAGTTATCCTCACTGCTGCTCTCCCTTGGAAGTAAGCACCAAGTAACAACAAAAGAGAAAGCACTTCAGTTTTATTATATATAGACACACACACACACAAGTATCCATGGATGTCTTTTCATCCCATTGCATTACGATATTATATAGTCCCAGTTTTCAAGAAATGGTACCATATATATGTAATTACTAGGAAAATGAGCAATTGGGCAATGATATAGCCTTCTCCTTGGATAGGGCAGCAGCAACAATAGACTCATGAGTACAAAGAAGCAAACTCAGTCTCTATTCCATCATCTATGGCCGCTTAGCTTGTGAGCAAGCGCTCGAGTGAATTCCAATTTTATTTTGGCTTAAGTCACTTTTATGGCCATCACAGAAATAGCCGGCAGCATCATTTGATGTTATAGTATAGAGTCATGTAGTAACAAAGAAGTTACTGGTGATGTCTGCAGATATCGTGATTGTCTTACATTGGTCCTCAACCAGTAAATCCAGCGACTCTTGCAATGGTGGCCAACTTTTTATCTACGGTGGTGTTGAAACAGGATCTGACGAAGTTTTAACAGTGAGTTGTGGAAATGTTTGACAGACAAAATTTATTTTTTAAATTGTGGTTATATCTCATTTATTTCCCCTCTTCCAACCACAGATTGTGACACTAGAATGGTCATCGTCTAAAGCTGAGAGATTAAAATGTGCTGGTCGTATGGACCTCACGCTTACTGGCTCCTTCGCTGACATGATTGTAATGCCAAATGGGGGCTCAAGTGCCAGGGATAATCAGCACAAAGATGCTCTTACTGTATTGACCAGCCCTGGCCAATTGCATCATTTTGATGGTGCTAGCTTATCTTTCTTACTGTCTCATCAAGATAGGAAAGCAATGGTTATCTCTCTGGAATTCCCAGCTATAGTGCCAACAGTTGGTCCGCCCATGACTGCAGCAAGATTCATTGCATTGCCAATGCATGCGAACTCTCTAAAACTTTCATCCGGGGTACAGTTATCTGATGTGTGCAACTTACCCTTTGATTTCATATTTGGTTTCTTTTCTTCTAAATATGTTGACTTCTTAGGTTGGTTTAGCTAAGAAGCGAAGCTCCAACTCAGTGGCTGCTAGCCCAAAGAAGAGGTCAATAGGGACGCGGACTCATTCTACTGAAAGCATTGGTGTTGAGAGAGTGTACATAGCAGGATATCAAGATGGATCTGTGTGAATGTGGAATGCAACGTGGCCTGTCCTATCACTTATTTGCCTTATAGAGGGGAAGGTTAGCAAGTACTCTCAATGTTTGTTCTCGATAGCTTATGCTTGGTTTTATGAGGCCTCATTACCTTGATATATTGTTCACAGATGCAAGGAGTAGAGCTTGTGGCTTTCGGTGCTCCAGTAACATCCTTGGACTTCTGCTTGGACACGTTGCTATTGGTTGTAGGAATTGACCATGGTCTGGTAAGAATTGAGAAGAATCTGATGATTTTGAAAGAGTATGGAATATAGGCATAGTTCTGCATGCTAACATTAGATGGCAATTGTGTTATGTGACCTCTTGGTACCTATTGGAATTGCAGGTTCGTGTTTATAATTTGAATGAGAGCTCGAATGAAGCCAGCTTTTGGTTTGTTACAGAAAGTACACGTGAAAGTAAGTTAAAATCTAACCTCAATATAAAGTGAGTTGAAAGCTCATCTCAATATGAAAACCAACTAAGTTTTCTGGCAAGAGAAACCATGTCTGCTACTACATCATTCATCAGGCTGGCATATTCGTTCCAAAAACTCTGATACAGTCATTGCTTTCCATTCTAAGGTGGAACTTCAAGGACAAGATGGAGAAGATTATGAGCTGCGATAGTGGGCACATTGCATTAGTATAATTTACTTTACTCATCTCCAGTCAAGTATGAAGTTCATGGGTTCTTTCACATTGTTCTGAGGTCTCCAATGAAACTTGACTATGCTTAACGGTTCTGTAGGCGAATGGAAGCGAAATGGCATTCGTATCGCTATTTTCAGGTGAAAATTGTTTCAGGTAAATTCATGCCTGGTAATGCAAAGGTTTTACTTTTCATCTTCTAATGAAATGACGCAGTACACCTTAACTTCCCAGGATACCGCAATCACTTCCTTCTCTCATGATAAGGTTCTTGCAGCTACTGCATTTAAGGTCTCCTTTAATCAGAAGAAAAAGCAGGTCGGTTCTCATATATAGTCAAATAACCTCTTAACTTATCCCAAGCTAGACGATGAATTTTCGGCCATGTAGCTTATGCATGGTCACATGCAGGATACTACTAAACCAGGAATCCTTGGCTGTCTTGCCAAAAGCTTCAAAGGCTGTAAACCTGACCAGAACCTGGATGCTTCTCAAATGTGTCATACCTACAATTTCTCCCATCTTGAGGGTTTGTTTGCCAAGCCGCCCGCATTACCAGACTCGACATCTCGCGAACCACAACAGCCAGAATCTGACCCATCATCTCTTACTCCTCCAATCAAGAGCGAGAAAGCAGAGGAGCTTAGTATAGACGACATTGTGATAGATGACCTGCCGCCTCCTCTGCCCCAACCAACGACAACCACCTCGAAATAGCCTAAGAAGGAGAAGAGAGGTACCATTTCCTATCAACCATTTTCCCACTGTATTGAAACTGTTGGTGTCTGTGTGTGCCTGGCTGACGATATGATTTTTGGACGGACCGACCACGACTAGCGAATGGTACAGAAAGGGAACAGTTATTAGGCATGGATGATGAAATCGGGCCGCCACCTGCAGGGTACATCTTGTTGAAGAAATCAAAAGAGGTTTTGGGAAGATTTCCCCAAGGAAATCCTAGCTCAAGGTTGAAGAAGAGAGGAGGCATCCCCACAGGATGATTTCCACCTTTTTCTCCTTTGTTCTTCCAACTTTTTCCATGGAGTAGTCCTCCTCCCACTTGGGTGTAGTGAAACCCTAAACCCTACTATATAGTTTTCTTGTATGTGGTTTGAATGATTGATATTGGGCATTGTTCAATTTAATGTTTGAGGTATTTTCACCATGATTTGGCATGCTTATGCTTAGCAACTTAGGGGTTGTGCATATTTTGTGCTTAGCATCCTAGGGTTGTGCATATTTTGTGTTTAGCATCCTAGGATTGTGCATAATCGTGCTTAGCACCCCTAAGTTTGTGCATTTAGGTGCTAGTAATCTAATTTGCCAACTTAGCCTAGTTTAGAGAGGAAAATCACCCTTTTAAGGGAGACTCAATCGAGTTGGTTTTCCTTCCGCTTTCCAAGCCACCTAAACGAGGCGAGTTAGGGCAATCCTCGATATTGAATTGAACAAGTCGATTAATCGTGATTAAACCATCCGACCTTAGAGTTGAGTGAGGAAGTAAGTCGATTACCAATTGTCTAAACCGAGAGGGTCGAGTGACACGACCTTTCATCTTCACCTTGGTTTAGCAATCGAGACTATGGTCCCCGACCACATACGCTTTCCTCTGCGTTTCACAATTAGCGTGCCCAAGGCAATAGTTCCATCCCACGTAGCATAGTAGCGGTTTAGGGGGAAGCGAAACCCAAGTGACTTCCCCAGAAAAGAGTTTTAAAACCAAATTACTTTTGCTTTCTTTCATTTCAATTGGGAAACCTTTAAACCAAAGTTTTATCGCTAGATACTGATTTCAACAACCGAAGTAGGGATAGACGGACTGGCCCGGGTCGATATATAGATACTTGCCCTATACTACACCCAATTAGAGTTTAAAAACTTGGGCTCTAATTGGGGTTTAATTGTAGTGTAGATTCGAGCGAGTCGGTAATTAGCTATCATGTTGAACATTAGCATGTTTATGTACTTTCTTTTCATCATATACTAATCCCCCAATTTCTAGGGGTAACTTATGGATTTTATTATCTAGCCTTGATGTTTTAATCATGACTTGTTTTTCCTCCATTTTCTATCGTGTGAAATTGTTTAACGCTTTGTGTTGATTGGCCACCTTCACAATGATTTGTAGTTTTCTAGGTTAATAACGATAGTGAAAACCTAATAACCGAACACATTTCACACAACATAATTGCCTATTGAAGCGATAGCGGATTAAATAGGGAATTATGCAATCATTTTAGGGATATTGTTGTTAAGGCTAATTGATTAATTTTGTTAACTACGATAGTAGAAATTGTCTTAATTAGTTAGTACGTGGTGACTCTCGATAGAGATAGCTATCAATTTAGAGGTATCCCGACTTTAGGAATATGGATTAAATTGATTAACAAGGACAATTAAAATCACCAAGGTAAATAGTAGAATCTTGTGTTTCCCCCGGAACTCTCAAAAGTTAATTTCTCCAAAATATTTCATTTTCCGAGTTTATTAATTTTAGTAATTCTGTAACTCATCACTTGATTACAACCTTTGCAATTTCTATAGTTACTTGAACTAAATTTGTTAATTATTGAATTTCACCAATCCCCTAGAGAACTATAACTTACACTTTATTACTTGTACAACACTGTGCACTTGCAATTTTTTCGCCAACATTTAGTAATAGTGTATATCGGATGGGTATGATAAATTGAGTAATAGCTAATAAAAATTCAGTAATATAAAAACACTAATTATCTGATTGTTCGAAGTAGGGCAGGCTATTTGGTCCGGACTTTTGGGGTTTACTCGAAAACGGACCGCATAACTGACACGCTAAAACACAACACCAAACTGCGACCAAGTGTAATCTCAGTCCGAAAATGCAGTAACAGGCAAGCTTTATTGGCCAACCAGGGTCTAGATCTACTTCCTACTCCGTGAATATCTATTATCTAGCAAGCTAAGTCGAGTGATTCTGATTTTAACTAAAAGTAGTAAGAAAGCAGGAAATGGTCGGTTTTCTAAAGCAAGGGAAGAGTCACTCAGGAATGAGTCCCCCTAGCTCCTTAGTTAGGTCACAGTTGTAATTACCCTGGGTTGGTTAACTGTTGATTAAACTACGGAAGATCCGACAGTAGCTTGAAATCTCTTAAGCTGACCAAACCCTCTCAGTCCAACCACACGGCAGACGACTAGTCTTCACCGGGATATAAAGCTGAGGCTATGAACACAGAACTACACTACTGGAATTGGATTCCAGTACAAAGCAGTAAATCGATTAACTCTCGTATAATCAATCTACCACTACCGATTGATGAAGCTCTAACAACCTAATCAGATTCTATCTATCTCAGGTTGCAGCAGAAATCAAGAAAAGATGATTAGGCTTCAATTGACTCAATGAATCAGGCATCAATCGATTAAAATCAATCAGTATAATAATCCCAAGTCATTACAATCAAGATCCCTAACACATGGAACTAGGGTTCTTCATACCCAAGTGAGAGAAGGTTCTACTCCATAGAGAGAGAGAGAGAGGAAAATCTGCTCTGGGATGATGATCTTCACTCCTATGATGATCTCCAAGCTCGATTGATGAAACCTAGCTCCAAAATCACTTCTAGGATGTGTTCTTCGCACTTTCTCTCTAGGGCTCTGTTTCTTGCTCAAAAACTCGATTCCCCACTCCTTTGGCTCGAAATTTGGTTAAAACGAGTTCTGCCCAATCACACGGCCAGGCCACACGGCCGTGTGAAATCCCTAGCTGCCCGTGTGGAAGTGCAAAACGTCGCGTTTCACTTAAGTGACTTTAGGTACGCTACACGGCCAAAACCACACGGCTGTGTGGATTTCCAGTCTGGCCGTGTGAGCTCCCTGGACTTTCCACATGACCACAAGGGGTCCCATACACGGCCAGTGTGGCTTGCCCGCATCATGGAATTCCACACGGCCAAGTCACACGGCCGTGTGGAATTTAGGTCTGCCCGTGTGGAATTTCCAGCTTTTCGTCAAACGTTCCAACTTCGTCCAATCGACCCCGAACTCGTGCCCAAACCTTCTTTCACGTACTAGGACCTGAAATATCACAAACAAGAACAACCTAGCGTGAAATCAACCTAAAACACGAGAGCTAAGACTCAAACGGTACAGGAATGGTGGACAAAAACATGTGTAAATATCATGTCATCAATAACCTGGACCAGGACCGTACCAGAACTTGATAGCAAACAATCCAATCCCATCTTCAGGCTTAGATTTGAGGTAAAAAAAAAAACGGTTTCAGATCGGATTGAAAACCGGATAAGAGAGCTCCAACACTCGAAACTTAACCAACTCCTCACCTTTTGAGGTCTCAGACCACTCAAATTTTCAAAGTTCAATATAAAATAAAGACCCAATTGGGTCCGGACCGGATGAGGTCCGGACTGTATCCAATCCAATCTTTGGTCCTTATATTCCCAAAAAGACCGGACCGAGACAGGATCAATTAGGGCCAATTTAGCCAGACCGGATCATGTAGCCACCCCTAGTTCGAAGTTTATGGATGAACATCTAATTTGTTAAATTACATGAATTCTTGGATTGTAACATATTTCAAGTAATCTAGTCGTTTGTACATCGACGATTATTATTTTTTATTAAATTGATATTCGAGTTTGAGTTTTGAATTGGACCCTGAATTTATTCGTTAGAGATTATTGTATAGTACTATACCTCAAATCCTGTTTAATTCGATGACTTGTTCATTTCAATTGGTTAATTGACAACAACTATTGCGTATTAATAAAGGGAGGGACACGTTTTTCATATTAAAATTTAAAGGGGGTGCTCTGTTTAATTCCGTCTCACAACAAGTATCATGAAGCAAACATAAAACACATATAAGAAACACAATAAACAACACTACAAATACCATAATGCATACTAGAAAACATATAAAACATACCAAAACATTACCACACAACAAATTCCATGGAGCATACCATAAACCTCATAAAGCATACCACAAGTTTCTTAAAGCATACCACAATTTTCTTAAAGCAAACGAAAAGTTTATTAAAGCAGATCACTAGTTTCTTAAATTATAGCACAAATTTCCCAAAGCACACCAGAATCCTCATAAAGCGTAACAAAAATTATTAAAGCGGATTACGAGTATAATAAAAGCACATCTCAAAGTTTATTGAACGAGATAAAAGGTTATTGAAGCATACCAGAAACCTCCTAAAGTATACTACAAGTTTATTAAAACACATCACAAGTTTCTGAAAGCGTACCACAAACCTCATAAAGCATACCAAGAACTCATAAAGTAATTCCCAAGATCATTAAAGCAGATCAAAAGTTTATGACGTTTCTAGTATGTTTTATGAAGTTTCTGGTATATTTTAAGAAACATGTGGTGTGTTAGTAAACTCGTGGTATGCTTTAGATAAAATTAGGTACGAAATATGGTAGATAACATTCTTTTTTCGGTAAGTTGGAAGTTTTATTGACGCTCTCTTCATCAAAAGATCAAGCATCCGAAAAAACAAGACAAACAGAGTTTGTCAACAGAGAGAACCACAAATCGACTTCTCATAAGAGCGATCGAAAATCACTAACACTACCAAGGTCACTACAAAAAGCTCTATTACCGATAGCTACAAGCAGAACTTCCTCACGCAATTGCTGAAATAGCACCTGCCAGTCAAGACGAGGGCCACCAAAAACTCTGCTATTCCGTCCAGATTAAG